CTTCAGCCCCCCAAAAATGTTTAAATAAATTTGTGGGTACCATAAAGACCTTTTATTTTAGGGTTGGGCCACAGAGTGACCAGTTAAGTTTTTTTCTGGCTGAATGTGTTTTGTTTAGAAGGTGGCGAGTTAAGAGGAAAGGGGAGAATTAAAATATTTGCAAGATGTCATTAATCTCCAGTAAGAGCCTAGCATTGTTGTTTTTTTCCCCCCTTCATTTCAGAACTAATCTAGCTTTCTGTTATTTGGCTCAGAAAAGTCTTAAATCTGTAACAAGAGAGTAACTTCCTGTTCTCAAGAGCAAGGCTGCCAAAGAAAACATTTACAAGAAAAGTCCCAGGGCCAAAAAATTGCCTACTAATTATTTCTCAACCCCCCCACCCCCAATTCAGGAAGGTAAATGCTGTAAATGCTATATGTTAAAACTCGAAAGTATGTATTGAAAAATTAAGAGAAAACCCTCAAGAACTGTTTGCCATTTATTTATATTTTATTGCATTCAAATTACATCAGTTTTATGGCCCTTGGGCACACATTAATGTTTCTTATAAATTTTGTTCGGAATTCCACAAAGATTATACTGTACCTTTATCAAAATACATTATGAAAGCCTTTACCTGGTACCTTCCCGAATGAGGAAGGGAGAAGTAGCTCCCGATTGCAGGAGCGGACCTAGTGCTGCCAGCAAGGCCGTGGGATGGCTACGGGCTGGCCCGACGCCCACAGCGAGGTCCTGGTGTTCTCCTTGGTGACCTGCCTATTCAGTGCCACCCCAATCAAAATCCCAGCAGCCCTTTGGTAGAAATTGACAGACTGTAATATTCATTTGGAAATGCAAAGGACCTAGACTAGCCAGCACAACTTTGAAAAGGAAGAGCAAAGTTGCAGACTATCTGTCCTATGATAAAGCTACAGTAATCAAGACAGTGGGATATTGGTGCCAATATAGGCACCCATCGATATAACAAAACAGAGAGTACAGAAATAGAATTACGCCTATATGGCCAGTTGACTTTCTACAGTGGTACAAGGGCAATTCCGTGGAAAATAGGTAGACCTTTCAACAAATGGTGCTAAAAGAATTGGATATCCATGTGAGAAAACACTTCTTTCATTTATAGTTTTCACCATGTATTAGTAATCTAATCCTGCTTGATCAAATTACCCCCAAATTTAGCAGCATCTACCTCTGGTCTCTCTGCTTCTGGTTTCTCTTTCCAGAAATGCATCTCCAGTCTTCTTTTTGGGCTTTTCCTTTCCTGACAAAGTCAAAAGAGTTACTCTCACATTTGCATATGAGGGAAAGGAGACTACTTAATCTCCTGCTTATCCAGCCACCAGCCACATTCCCCCTACTTTCCTTCTGCACAACCCAAGTCTCTGATATGTGTCCAATAAGAGAAAAGCCTTGGGTTTGCAAATATTCCCAGTGCAACCCCTCCTTCCCAGCATCTGTTATTGTCTCCAGTGCAGTGCAGGAAAATTTTTCCAAGCTATTTCTATTTCACATGATCTGCACAGCAAGGCTAAGGGGCAGGGGTGCAATTCCATTTACTTCCTAGGCAAAGATGCTTACTGGGGCACCGAGCCTCAAAGAGCTGAAGTGACCTAACCAAGGGGACATTGCAATTCAGTGGCAGACCTGGGACCAGCTCCAGGCTTCCCACCCATGTTCCAGAGTCAGACGGGCTTTGCGTTTCAATGGCCTCACCTACAAAATGGTGGTGACATCTTCCACACACAACTGTTGTGAAGGTCCAGTGCACATATGCTGCACTACCTCAGAAACCCTGGTCTCCTTCGCTTCCCCCAGCCCGGCTCTTTCTGGAATGCTTTTCCTTTGTAGATTTCTTCATGCTCATCAAGGTTTGGAATGATCATCTCCAAATTGTGTGTGGTGTCCTTTATGGGAAACTGCCCCCAAGGCACTTACATCATCGGAGAGACAGAAAATGGATGTGAAGATCCATCATTTGCTGTAAGAATAGAAAAGAGGGTACAGAGAATAAGTACCTCTAAGATACAGAGACAGCCTAAGGTCAGGAGGTGCCTGACCCCCTGGGACAGGTTTTGGAGATGGCAGGGTCTTGAGGTGCACATGTTTGTTCTCCTAGCACCTGGCAGGCAGCACCTGGCGTGTGCTGGTTGAACTGAACTGGGCCTCCAAGCCTGGATGTCAGGAAAAGCACCATGGTCTGATGTAGCCTGAGCTCCCCACTCCTTCCCTGAGGACCACTCTGAAGTTTCTAGCGCAGGTAAAAGCATTGCCGGGGAGGAAATGGGTGCCCGGAGTAGACAAGCAGGCTAGCTCAGGTCATCCTTGGTTAGCGTGCCCTCTGACGGGGGGCCGGCCATGTCATATCACCAACTCCAAGCACTTCCCACATGTTTTTCTCTCCCTGGCTAGCTCTGAAATCTGCCCCCTGGGGCATGTCCCACTCAGATTCCAACCCCAGCTCAAGCGCACAGCCTGTATTTTCTGTCCTATGGCTGGCTCTTGCTGCTGGCTCACTACGCAGCAGACCCTCTCTGACTGCAGGATCCTGGGGGACACCTGCTCCTGCTGAGCCCAGTCCTGTTTCCTGTCAGCTGCCCAGGCATTCTCCGGGCCTCCAGGTCACACCTGCAGTCCCTGAGCTCAGGTATCCACAGGCAATATCCTGAAGGAACTTTTCTCACTGCCGGTTTGGGGGACGTACGTGTCTGCCTAAAGCAAGCAGTTTTATCCGCCCCTTCCTTTCTCATTCGCAATGTTGGCAAAGGCATCAGGAAACCACATTCTCACCCTGTTGGTGAGAGTTTCAATGGATTCCCATTTCCACCGGCCAAACTGGACTGTGTACACCAAAAGACTGAAATGTACATAACTTTTGACCCAGCAATTCCTTTTGTAGGAATTGATCCTGAGAAAATAATTAGGCAACTGTAGAAAAACAAATTGTACAAGACGGTTCGTCAATTGTTCAAAAAGGAGTAAAGACAACCTTCAAAATTCCAACAATAGCGAACAGGTCGAGTAAATCATAGGATATCAATAAAATGGAATCTAATTAATTGTAAGAAACAGTGATGTAGAGATATATAAAGAATCAGCATAAGTGAAAAGTGGTTACAGAAGTGTGTGATGACGACAGGCGGGATTCACTGAGTGCTTCCTCTATGCCAAGCATTATTCTAAGAGCTTCACAGATATGAACTGCTTAATCGGCACACCAACCCCAGTTAGGAAAGAACCGTCACCGCCCCCATTTTACAGGGGCGTGAAGAGATTCTGTGACTTGTCCAGGGCACACACTAAGAGACTGGGCTCTACACACTCTAGATTCCACATCTCTCAGTACTGTCATTCTGTGTCTCACAATAGGGTCATATTTGTTTTAAGAACAAAAACAAAATAAATGATGTGAGGGTGGGGTATGGAGGCGGGGTAAGGGGTCAGAAAGTCTAGAAGGACTAGAATAAAAATATTAATTGAGGAACTATTATGTTATTTTTCTTTTTAAAGTTATATACACTGCTGTTCTTCGTTTCAATAGAATAACTTTACCATGTAACATTAGAGTTCATGCTCCCAGTTCTACACATTACCCCTGCTCAGGAGGAGTTGAAGAGTTGAATTCTTTCAGGTGGTGGGCCAGGGGTCACCAAAGTAAATTCTGACAAAGATCAAGAAGGGTCATCTCTATCTCTTTCCATTTCAGTCTGTAGCGCTTAGGAACTCACTTTGTCTTTCTGAATAGTTCAAATAATGTTTAGAATTTTCCACATGTTGAAGATATTTAAAAATACAAAGGCCCCAGCCCTATCCAGGTGGCTCAGTTGGTTGGAGCATTGCCTCGTACACCAAAAAAGAAGGTTGCGGGTTCGATTCCCAGTCAAGGCACATACCTAGATTGTGGGTTCCATCCCTGGTCAGGGCGCATACGGGAGGCAGCCAATCAACGTTTCTCTCTCTGTGTGTCTCTTTCCCCCATTCCTTCCTCTCTCCCTAAAAAAAAAAAAAATCAATAAGCATATCCTCAGGTGAGGATTAAAAAAAAAATACAAAGACCCCAGATAGAGACCATGCTATAGAATGATCCGTGGTATTCTCTGAATGTAAAATTACCCGCTAAATTTTTCTTTTTTTTTTTTCTTGTTTTAGAAAAACGAGAGAGGAGGGAACGTGGGGATGCTCACAGAGCAGTGCTCGCGTCTGCCTTGCTCCCCTGGGGATGACGTTCTCCATGCCGCTGCGTTTCATTTAGCCTCGGCTTCCACCAGCTCCTCCGGGGGCCCAGGGGCGCCAGGGCGCTCCACCACTCCGCCACTCCGGGTGCAGCTTCTCTCCCGTTCCCCAGGACTGTGTTTGTCCGAGATGCTCCCTTGTCAGGATGTGCCCAGGGCGTGGTGTCCCACCGCTAGAACCCCCAGGAGTGAGAGGAGCCAGAGGCAGCAGAGCTGCGTGAACACCGCACTGGGCGCTCGCCTCGCTGCCTCCCGCGTAGGTGTGACAGCCCAGGCTCGCAGAAGGTGGAGCTGACGTTCAGAGAGCTTTGATGACTTGCCCAAGGTCCTACAATCATAATTTAATCACAAGTTTGGCTTCAAAATGCACATTTTTCCTTTTTACTCCATCCTGACTCACAGGGGTCTACCCGACTGAGTCACTTTGCTTTATTTCTTTCTGTTTTTGTTTTTGAAGCAGGGCAGAGGGGGACTGGGCAAAAAGGAGGGTGATTTTTTTTAAGTAAAAACTATTTTTGTATTTTATAATGATGTATGTATCTTATTCTTTTCAGAAGGGGCGTTAACTAGTTAAGTTTCAGAGTTTAAACACACACACCCTATCTTGTGGTTTATAAATGCTTCTATGGATTACACTGATTGAAAGCTCACCCTGCCCTGACCTTGACTCTCACCCCAGAGTCCGTTCCACTCTCTACCCCTGCACATGCTCATGGGTGAAACACAGACAACATATAGAACAAAATATATGGCATTTATTAAACAGATGTGACACGGGTTATTATAATATCAAAGTAGAGCATGCACGAACAAATCATTACCAATTACTCATTCGTTTAACAAAAACACCAATCAATACTGAAAACATGAAATGATTAAATTTTGACAACATACAAAATTCTCTTTCAGTTAAAGTGAGAAAGAAAGAAAAAAAATCACAGGTCGAATAAATATAGTGATTTGCTGGCTCCCCAGAGGCACAAGCACAGGTTGAACCAGGGGATCAGCACCGGAGCGAAGCATGTCTGCCCACACGAGGACCTGAGGACCATCTCCCGAGGCTGCACCCAACCCCCGCACCCAGTGGAGACAGCGCCTGCCCTGGGACTCCCTCCCTCCCAGGGTCACGTGTCCCCGGTGCCCTGCTCTGGTGGGCAGGCTTCTCTGTACCAGAGAAATACTGCCTCTAATACTTTTACGGGTAAACAAAACTTTCATGCGGTAACAAATGGTCCTGGTGTGAACAACATGAAATTTCAAATGAATGCCCTTTTTCCTCCCCACTGAAGTCTAGTAAAACAAAATAAATTGTGAGGGAATTCTCCGGACAGGACTTCAGTGGAGACATGGAAAACTAACAATGGCCCAGTACAGCGGAATAGTCTGGTTTGGTGTTTGAAATGTGACCTTGTAAACTTTTTCCTGCCCTCCCCCTCCCTCCACTTTTCCTTCACGTTTTATGAAATGGATCAGAACTGCAGCAATTTCCACTCTGGCTTAGGCTGGGTGTATGAAGAAGCAACAGTCACCCTATCAGACGTCAAGCTGCCGGGTTCCAGGGCCTTTGTCCATCTGCAGAGTTCAGGTGTCGGAGTGCCTAGGTCAGGGATTTCTTCATGGTCAGCTCCAGGACGCGTGCGTACGGGGCATAGTTCCTGGACGGCATCGCAACTTCACGGGTCCGATTTGTTTCGCTGAGAAACGAGAAAAGCCTGGTCAGGAAGACGAAACAGAACTCTCCATGCCCTTGGGTAAGTCCACCGTAGGAAATGGCTTTTCAACACTTAAAAATAGACTGTAATAATGCAGTGGAATATTTCATTTAAATGTTACAAAAGGGACCATTATTTGTAGCAAATTTTAAAGGTTTAGCACGTGCAAGGCATCGATGATTCAGGAAAATATAAAGCATGCGTTGAAGGAACTCATAATTTGGTGGGAAAGAGATGGTCATAAATAATTTTAATGTGATGCGTTGGGCACTACTACAATACAGACATAAAGGGCTGTGCTGGATAGTCTCCACTGGCCTTCAGATCTACTCCCCCTCTTCCACCTCACTCTGAGCCCTGGACGCCTGGGTCCGCATCAATGGACTCCCTCGCCCTTTAGCTCCCGGTTGGTTTGGACCAATCAGAACATGGTAGCGGAGATGAGGAAACAGAAGGACCGAGACATCAGGACATTTGTTCCCTCCCAGCCAGGTGGCAGCTTGCAGTTGGCCATACTCCTCTGGCTAAGCCACCATTCAGCCCTGCCTTCTGCCACCTCCGCTGGCTTTCACCCCTGCTTCTTCAGGTCCAGACCCTGCCACTGTCCCTTGTTTATGTCCCATAAAGCTGCCCAAATCTTTACAAATGGTCCCTTCATTTAAATCTCTTCAATATTCCCTTCCAGCTAGGACCCTGAGAAATACAATAAATATATTATGGGCAAACTGAGTGCAGAACAAGCAGGAGGGCATCTGGAAATTCGCACAGGGAGGGTGAATCTTGAAGGATTCTTAGGCATTCCTCAAGTGAGCAAGGAGGAGTTGGGAATCCAGGCAAAAGAAACAGTATGTGCCCAGGCAAAGAGGGGTGAACCAAAGGCTGCAGGTGTGGAAAGGAGACACGCTCGGTTCAACTGGAGCAAAGACTCCATGATGGAAAGCGGAGGAAGATGAGACACAGTGGAGAAGGGCCCTTTGTGCTCTGCTAAGGAGTTCAGAGGGGACAGGAAGTCACTAAAAGCTTTTAGGGGGTGGGGGAAAAGGATATGCTCATATTTTTAATTCTAGCAAGATACCTTGGTACTGCTGAGAGCTGACTACTGAGGGGTCAGTCTGGAGGCAGAAGGTTAGAAGACTTGCTATTTAAGAGGTGATCGTGCCCGGCCAGTGTGGCTCAGTGGTTGAGCATTGACTCATGCACCAAGAACTCATGGGTTTGATTCCTGGTCAGGGCACATGCCCAGGTTGTGGGCTAAATCCCCAGTGGGGAGCATATAGGAGGTGGCCAATTGATGTTCTCTCTCATCGATGTTTCTATCTCTCTTTCCCTTCCTCTCTCTCTAAAAATCAGTAAAGAAAAGAGGTGATCACAAGAATGAATTCTAACATGGGTAGATGCTCAACCACTGAGCCACACCAGCCAGATCGGCTGGACAATACACAGGTTTTAAAATCTGCATATAACTGGACCCACACAGTTCAAACCCATGTTCTTCAAGGGTCAATGGTATTTTCAGCCTGCAATTGGAAATCCGTGTATACTGAGGACCTGCTTGTTATACTCAGATTTTTGACTGTGTGGGGGTTGGTGCCCCTAATTCTTATATTATTTAATAGTCAACTGTATATTACTTCCAGGTTTAGCCTGCAGAAACCTTCTACGTAATTCTCTATGATTTCTCTTTCCTTTTGCACAGAGGATACAGTGGAGGGCCCAAGAGGACTCCAAAACCCAGGCAGAGTCGCTAGATCTGAGATTCCTGGGTTCCTGAATGACTGTGTGGAGCAAGGCCCATGCCAACCTCCCTGGATTGTGGTGAGAAATCAATCTTTACTGTGCTCAGCCCCCAAGATCTCTGGGCTGTTAGAGCAGCTACATTCCTTATCCCGACTGTTGCAATGACCCATTGTATATATAAGATATAAGACCCAACTCCCTTTCCCCTAACTTCCCATGTCCAATTGTTCACCAAGTAGTATGGAATCTACCTCCTAACGTACTCTTTTGTCATCTCTCTTCTCTATTCAGTCAGGCACTCTTAGTTCAGGCCCTCATAATTTATCTTTGAATACTAGGGTGGTATCCTAAAGGGTCTCCCTGACTCCAGTGCTGGCAAAGTCTTCCCCCTCCCCGAATTCACTATCCATTTCGCTGTCAAGGACATCTTCCTGGAAAGACCATCAGAGGACGTTACTGTTCTTAAAACTCTCCAAACTCTCCCTATCACTTCCTGGGTGACGTCCAAGTCCTCTGTCTGGTCTAGAGGTCCATCTCCTCTGCCATCTCCTGCTCTGTCTCCTGGCTGGCCTTGCAAACTGACACTGGAGTCTCATCATCACCGCACTGTGCCCGCCTCTCTGCCAAGCTATGCTGCCCGCGCCACCTCGAAGGCGTCCCTACTCCAATCGATCTGATGAATCCCTGCCTATATTTCAAGACTCAAACCAAGCATCACCTCCAATGTGACAATTTCCCTGACTCCCACACTAGTGATAGAAATGAACCTTCCTTTCTTTATTTACATAGTTTCCTTGAGCGGAGCTGCTCAATTTCCTGCTTCCCAAAGGTTCCCTCTTGCTCAACTTTCCCACCACTGACACCTCTCATTACCCTGCACTGATTTTCAACTAAAGGGTAGTAGGGAGACAGCTTCTTAATGGGGTCTATTAGACTTCACATGTCTCTCCCCCAATTGATTCGATGTGTCCTTTCCAGGCCCTCCTCCACCTTACCCCCCCTAACATCTTGAGGTGACTGTCACACAGGCTCCTGACACGCCCCTGGAAGCACCTCACTGCACCTACTGGTCTATGCATGGTTCACATTTCTTCTGGGTGTAACTTCTGGGAGGGCGGAAACTATCTCATTCGCCTTCCTGACCCCAGAAGCTCACTCAGGCCAGGCACCGAGCTCTCCATCCACATCCAGAAGACAGGAAACCAGAGAAGAAGGGTGTCGAGAAGCGGTCAGCCACCTGCCACAGGCGGGAGGCCACAGGCCCTGCCAAAGCAGGCTCCTCCGTGACCTCCCCAGGCAGTTCCGTCGAGTGCCAGGGGTAAAAGCCAGATGGCAATTTCTGCCAACTACTGTGAAAATTCCACATAACAGAAATGGTCTCTGGGGACAATATCCTAAAAGCCCATAAAGTGCAGAAATATTTATAAAGGTGGACCTTCTGGGTTTCAAAAACAGGCTCTTATATCCCAACCAAAAAGAGGTGAGGTATTTTATTTGGTTGATCACTAGGAAACAATAAGATTTCAAGAACACAAATAAGTTTTCAAACATATAATTGAAATTCGACCATTTTCTTTAACACATTAAGGCTATTGTTAACCTTTTATAAATCCATAAAGAGGCAGTTCCCCTGGGGGAAATGATAGCAGAATCAGCAACTAAAGCTTTGACAAAAGCGACTTTGTGTTCTGGGCTCTACAACAAAAATTTGAAAATGTAGGCATTTTAAAGTGCTTACTGTGTGCTCGGCACTCATGACCACAGGGAATATCTTTCATTAAATTGTACCTATTAAGACATAATTTATGAGTTTGCTGGAAGCCAGGTTTTACTTGGAGCAGGAGAAAGAAGCCTCTTTTCTTTCTTTTCTTTTTGTTTGTTTGTTTGTTTGTTTCCACTCTTCTCTGGGACCTGAGGTTAGCTGACCTGAAATTGTTCCCAGTGGCTTTAATTAACATACATTAAACCTTTCAAATAAAGCTGTTCAATCTTTTATTTTATAAACAGGAGGTTAAGAGCCCCTGAAATCACAGTGAGTACCTTCTCACTTCTGCCCCTTCTCCTTGCTCTCTAGGAATCGGTGTAACACAGAGATCAGGCCGGGGAGGAGAAGGATCTGGAGAGCAGAACCTGGAGGCAGAGAGATGGCACTGATCAGATTACAGGTGACTGTCTAGGCTCATGAGGTTGGTGGCAGTGGGAACTGAGTTATGAAGGGACAAACAGCACAGTATGGGTGAGTGAGTCAGGAGCAGACGATCAGGTCTCAAAGGGACTGCAGTTTACTGAGTTTAGGTCACCGGGAAACCAGTGGCAGCAAAAGAAAAATATGAAAATGTGGTCACTGCACTGGGGACATTATATCTGTCACCTCATTTCAGCAAGCTTCTGGGGGAATTATTATCAAAATCTCGCTATTCTAGGTGAGGAAACTGACTTGCAAAGAGGTTAGGAATTTACCCAACCAATGCTGCAGATGGAGAAAGAGGCAGATCCAGGACCCAAACCCAGATCTAACTTCCAGCCAGTGTTCAACTACTACTAAGAGAAAATGACTTCGACGGACAGAACGACTGGCTCGGTGGTGCATCCGCTGGGCATGAGGATGGAGCAGACAGCAGCTGGCGTGCCCAGCCGGCAGCCGGAAATGAGGACTTGATGCAGACAGAGGGAGTCAGCTGCTTGATGACTCAGCCACAGGGAGGCCAGGGTTAGGCTCTGAGCTTGGATGCCATCTTTGTAGAAAGTGCTATGACCGGGGTAGAACCATGAGGAGTTCCCACAGTGAGATCTTAGAGGAAAAAGAGGAGGCATCAAAAATATGAAGGACAGCCCTGGCCGGTTTGGCTCAGCGGTTAGAGTGTCAGCCTGCGGTCCCGAGAGACCCAGGTTCGGTTCCTGCTAAGGGCACATACCTTGGTTGCAGTTTGTCCCCGGCCCTGGTTGGGTCATGCAGGTGGCAACCACTCGATGTGTCCCTTCACATGGATCTCTCTCTCTCTCTCTCTCTTTCTCTCTCTCTCTCTCCCTCCCACTTTATCTGAACAAAAAAATGAAAAAAAAAAAAATATATATATATATATATGAAAGACAGGCCAGGGAGGCAGGAGTGAACCAAGAGAGAAAAGTCCTACAAGGATAAGAAACAGACATTCTTCTATGTAAGAAGAACTATCAAATGCTACAGAGGAATGGCTCCGGTCAACAAATATTAAGTGACCATTATAGCGAAGTACTATTCTAAGTAAGTCCAGAGAGATAGCAATCAGTCAAATGGATGAAAATCCCTGCCCTCATGAAGCTTACATTCTATAGAGGGAGAGAGATAATAAATACAAAGATGTAAAATGTGAGCAAGAAATGTTTTTCCAAGTCCTTTATTAAATAAATCCTATTATAATACAGATCAGCTGCCTAAGCCCCACTTGGTGTGTATCTTTCATTCATTCAGCCAACAAATGTTTATTGAACATGAATAAATGCTAGACCAGGGGGTGGCAGCCTAGGGTCCCTGTCCACAGGCTACCCAGTGTTGGCAGGGACAGGGAAAATGAGGAGCTGGGGCTAATAAAAGAGGCATAGACGGCTCTATGATGTCAATTCTATTTTCAGCAGTACATAAATACAGAACAGCTCTAACAGACAGATGCTATTAGTCGTAGCACAGTGTAAACCCTTGTAGGTCTAAGGAGAAACGAGTCGTAGGTGCCGGCTACACTACAATGAGACCTTGTGCCTGTCGACTGGATCACACTGGGACCACTCTGATGTCTCAGCTGACAGAGAGCTCATCAACCACTGGGCCTGTCTAGAGGGTTTCAGACCACTGATAGTTTTCTTTGTTGTTGTTAATGTTTTCATTAATTTTCTAGAGAGAGAGGAAGGGAGAGAAAGATAGAAACATCGATGTGAGAGAGAAACACCCTACTGGGGATCGAGCCCACAACTCGGGCATGTGCCCTGATTGGGAATCGAACGGGACCTCGCAGTCCATGGGACAACGTTCAATCCACTGAGCCAGACCGGCCGGGCATACCAGGCCACTGATAGTTTAATTGAAGGGCTCAATACATACTAAGGCACTACACACTTGATTAAACTATTAAGAAAATCACTAATAACCACCAATAAAAATTACGTTAAATTGTATTAGCACACACAAATTCATTTATATTTGATACAGTGTCTTACATGGAAAGTAAGAGTTTTTACATAGTTAAGAGTAATAATTGCGCCCTGGCCAGTTTGGCTCAGTGGTTAGAGCGTCGGCCTGTGGACCAGAGAGACCCGGATTCGGTTCCCGCTAAGGGCACGTACCTCGGTTGCAGTTTGTCCCCGGCCCTGGTTGGTTGTGCGGGTGGCAGCCACTCGATGTGTCCCTTTCACATCGATGTTTCTCTCTCTCTCTCTCTTCCTCTCTCTCCCTCCCACTCTGTCTGAACAGAAAATGGAAAAATGTCCTCGGGTGAGGATAAAACAAAACAGAAACAGAACTGGGAATTTTGTTAGAACATACACAACACAATTTAGTGACTCTATTTATTATTTTAAAACCACAAACGCACCACACCAGGACTCAGAAGGCCTAGTTCTAATCCTGGCTGTGTGGCTTCCAGTTAATCACTTTATCTGTCTGGGCTTCAGTGTTGGTATCTACAAAATATGGGGATTAAGCCCTGGCCAGTTTGGCTCAGCGGTTAGAGTGTCGGCCTGTGGACCAAACAGACCCGGGTTCGATTCCGGCCAAGGGCACGTGCCTCGGTTGCAGTTCGTCCCACCTGTAGGTACCGGCAGCCACTCGATGTGTCTCTCTCACATCGATCTTTCTCTCTCTCTCTCCCCCTCCCACTCTGTCTGAAGATAAATAAAAATAAATAAATAAAACGGGGATTAAGCTAAATATGGGACTTCTGATTTGTTTTGGCCATAGAACTCTTTATTCAAACAAAATCTCACTTGGACTCTATTATATAAAATCCACTGAAAGCTGGGTTTTCTCAGATTGTTTTCTTCCGGTGATGGTGGTGGTGCTGGGGGTCCCCACCGTCCAGCTCCTCACTTACATCCTTGCCCCAGAGCCCTGGCACAGAGTGCAGGGGTTCCAAGAAGCACAGGTGGGAAACCACTGCCCCAAATTTTCTCCCAAGACCCCGAGGCCCTCACCACCCGCACTGGCAAGGCGCCTGCCACATAGTAGGCACTTAATAAATATCTGTGCGGAAACGCACGAAAAGCACTCCGCCTGTTCGGAAACGTGGGTTTGTAGTTTTCATTTCCTCCGCTGATTGACCCAGGTAGTTAAAGTGCTAAGATGGACCCTGGGGGAGAGCAAATGCTACGTTTATGGAAAGGCTGCTTCTAGATACCGAAGTGGCTTCCAAGTTCACCGTGGCCATAAGTTACGGGTCTGTCAGCACTTCCATTATGAAAACCGCTCTGTGGTTTCATAACTTCACCATGAAAGTTTGCTTCAGGCTATCCTCCGGCACACAAATTGAAAAGCGTGTTTTAAGCCAAAATGTGGGAATTAGAAAACAAACAACTGATTGGTTTCAGACACAGTTTTGTACCCGTCCGAGCCAAACAAGATTTATTATGTGGGCAATTAGAGTGGACTAAGCCACTTGGTTCTTAAAAAATAAAAAGGAGGGAAATGGCCTATTTATATTTCAAAAGGAGTCCCTGGATATGATCAATCATTCTTTCTGGCTAGGTTTTTTAATTTTTAAATTATTTTATTGAATTTAGAGAGGGAAAGAGATCAATTTGTTTTTCCACTTATTCATGCATTCATCGGTTGATTCGTATATGTGCCCTTAGTGGGGATCGAACCTGCAACCTTGGTGTATCCGTATGATGTTCTTGAGCTACCCAGCCAGGGCATTTTGGGGAATATTTTTATCATGTACTTTGTGCCCCACATGGATGAGACCTGGAGTCTATTTACATATTCTTCCCTCCCCCCTTTTTTAAAAATGCATTTCTGTTTTTTAACATTTTCTATTAATCATATCAGAATGACAAAATTGCCTTGTTTTACCAGAAAGCAAGCAATGGAAATGAGAACAATGTGACTTTGGTTACCTAAATCACAAGCCACACGTCATCAGCATCTTTCTTACAAACTTGTTATATGTCCTCTTTGGGCCAAGCACAGGTTTGAGCACCTAGAAACAGTGTTACTGGTTCCCAGGCTCGAATCTTACTAGGGAGAGACTCAGGCGTGGGCGTGTGGAGCTTACCAGAGCCTGGCGGTGCTCAAGCCCAGAAATGAAATGGAATGCAGCAGGCTATAGCTACGGTATATCTGCTCACGACTAAAGCACATCGTTTATTTTTCAGATTCGGTGCTTGACAATACTCCGTTATGGTACTAGGAACAGATGAACTTTGTTCAAGGTTTAGACTGTCCCTCCTCTGTATAACAGAAGCACCTCACAGGTCCCTCTCACACTGTTATAAATGATTGCCAAATATCTGCTCCCCTTCCAGACGGCTCTCTGGGACAGGAACTAAATCTCATTCTTCTCCATGTTATAACTGTCTGGCACAGGAAAGGTACTCAAGAGATGTCTGTGGCCCGGCTGGGGTGGCTCAGTGGTTGAGCATCGACCCATGCACCAAGAGGTTACCAGTTTGATTCCTGGTCAGGGCACATGCCCAGGTTGTGGGCCCGATCCCCAGTGAGGGGCATGCAGGAGGTGGCCAATAGATGTTCTCTCTCATCAATGTTTCTATCTCTCCCTCTCCCTTCCTCTCTCTCTAAAATTAATAAAGAAAAAAGGAAAAAAATTAAAAAGATATGTCTGTGGAAGGAAGGAAGGAAGAAAGGAAGGAAGGAAGGAAGGAAGGGAGGGAGGGAGGGAGGGAAGGGAGGGAAGGGAGGGAGGGAGGGAGGAAGCACTCACTGACTGATAGGGCCAGTCTCTCTCTCTCCGAAGGGCTTCCCAGACTCCCGTTCTCTATACCCTCCCCCCTGTACAATGCCCCCGCTCCCACAGAAACCAGTCAGATGCTTCAGCAGCCACCACTTATCTTCGCAGAAATATTTTTGATAGAAAGAATGCAGTTCTCATTATAACAGCCCAGGAAAGTATTTTCTTAAGTCAGAGAAGAATTTGAATCAGAAAAACAGGAAATTCCTAAATACCTGGGTAGGAGATCACAGCCCACTCCAATCTCTCTGGTTTCCACTTCAGTCTTGGGCTGGGTTTCTATTAAATAATCCAGCTTGCTTTGCAGTTCATTATTCTAGGGATGAAGAAAAAAAGTATTTTGAGTAAAGCCAATATGTTCCTCCACAAATATGCATGATACAGTTTACATCTACGAGCGGACTTTCCCCCACGACATGGACATCCATCACAATGTATTTGTGGGGCACCTCTCACACAGTAAGAATTGAAGAAATACATTGACTGAATTCTTCCAGATAGCTTTCTGTGCATGTACATACATATGTATCCAATTTTACATAAATGGAAACAAACAAAATATACTGATCTATACATAAATCTGTTTTTCACTTAACAATTTGTTGTGAATACCTTTCCACATTTACTAGTTTTCTTTTTATGTCAACAAGCTCTTTTAATGCATTCATGGCATTCCATTGTATAGATGTACATAATTTCTTTAACTAGTCTCTTATTGATGGGAATTTAGATATTTAATGCATTTTTTGTGATTATAAATAAGGTACAGCTCAGCTTTTAATACTCCCTTATTAAACTATAAAATGAGTAAGTCTATTAATTTAATTTAATGGGAAATACCTCTATAACTTAATAATTAGTATTTCATAGGTGTGGAAAATTCAGAATCTCAAACATATAAAATAGAACAAGCTCTTTGGGATTAAAATTAGCATTCTAATTATTTTTTTTTCAGGCCAGGGCCAAACATTACGTCGGCTGATGATCACGTGCTCGGGACTTGGAAATCTGTCCCATGAGGGAAATGAGGGACAAAGGAGCAAAAGGTTGAGGCTATTGGAATAACAGACGAAGTGATGGTGGCTAAAATCTAAAGGGCAAAAACATATACAAATAATTTCAGAAAGAGGTTAACAGTGGTCTGTATATTTTGATTTTTGGATGTTTATTTAAGTTCTCTATATTTTTCTATAATGCTAGACTAAATTTCCATGAGGCAATGACCATATCTATCTTACTGGTTATATCCTCAGAGTGTGGCATATAAGAGATGCAAGATAGATATTTATTGAATAAAAAATGTGTAAATACCAATGGAACACTACACAGCTGTAAGAAAGAGAGATCTCTTATCCTTTGAGACAACATGGAGGGACCTGGAGAGCATGATGCTAAGCGATGTAAGCCAATCAGAGAAAGACAAATACCAGATGATCTCACTTATTTGTGGAATATAATGAACAAAATAAGCTGGTGAACAAAATAGACCCAGAGACATAGAAAAACTTCAGAGGAGTGGAGTGGAGGAGAGGTGGATGGATGAGATAAACCAAAGAATTTATATGCATGTATAATGCTGGGGGGGGGGGGATATCTGTAACAAAAATAAATTAATAAAAATTGCAAAAAAAAAAAATGGGTAAATGCTTTTACAGTGAGCATATTATTTGCATAACTAGAAAAATATTACAGCATCTATCTTTTCTTCTCTTTAAATTGGAGCTGGAGCTGAGGCTCTATTCTAAGGCACAAGATAGCACACCGAAGTTTAAAAGTTCCACGGAAACAGAGGCTCATTTGTTGGAGAGAAAGAATGTGGGTTACAGCTCAGTACCTCCTGCTCTGAATGGGCGCCACCGGAGCAGAGCAGCAGCTCGGTACAAACTCGTGTTCTGCAGGATATAAAAAACTACGAATTCTTTCTAATAAATGGGAAATGGCGTAAAGGAAGAGAATCCATTCCAGATTCCCTAGCAGCTGACAAGCCATGACGGATCCATAGGCTCCGAATCTATCCGCTGACACTCAGTCTGGGAGAATGGTGCTGGCATACTGCCAAGGGTACCCCCCTCCCTCTCTCTCTCTCTCTCTCTCTCTCTCTCTCTCTCACACACACACACACACACACACACATATACACACACACACACACCTTCCCTGGATTCTTATATTCATAAGGAAAAAGAAAGACAGAGAGGAGGCCTGCCCGTTAACAAGTTCCAGCAATCCTATCACCTTTACGCTTCTCAGTGCAAACTTTAATCATTAGGATTTCACAGAATGCTGGGGCGAGCACCTACAGTTAGGGAGCATAACAGACAAGGTTAGCCAATGTGTGCCAACTGGTCCATCGTGAAGAGTGGACAGGTAACCCCAAATCCTTTGTTCTATTTCATAGGAACTCTATATATACACATCAGACACTAAAGCACTGAAACCAAAAACGTATACAAATTTAATGCAATCAGTGAAAAAACTTCGTATCTACTATGTAACAGGCAATATATAAAAACAGGTGAGGGGAGGTAGCAGTTAAAAGAAATCAACATGGTTGGCAACCCTTGAAGAGCTCCACCTTATGGGACTACAGATAACTAAGCAGAAAATAACCCAACCAAGCTGAGTCCGTGCCAACGGGACCCGCAGAATATTAAGGAGGAATTCAGGGGAGATGGCTAACTCAAGATGAGGAGACAAACTGACTTGTAAATGGGAGTTGGGCAAGGGAAACAAAGTAAAAGAAACAAAAGGGATGAGTATTCCAGAATTGGGGCAACACACCGGGTTGAGAAAAGGCACCTAACTGCAGTACACGGGGGCAGGAATTAGTCACGAAGGGCTATGAGGGCCATTACAAGCACGTTACACCCAATCCTATGAGGCCGAGGTCAACAACGGATTTTATTTCAATCACTTGGGCTCCCAAGTAAAGATTGTACTGAAAGGAAACAAAACTGCAGGCAGGAAGATAAGTCAAAGAGGTCATTAAAACCTTCCAGTTAACAGAGAGAGCGAGCTGCACTTCTAGTATAGAGGAGTTAGCACTTAACAAACAAACCCTCTTGCAAGAATAACTATAAACTCTGAACAAAGACAAAAAACAGCTATGAAGTCTCTGGAGACTGAACAAGGACAGGCACGTTTTAGAGGCAGGTAAAACTTGGAACAAATGACAAGTATAGAATGGCTTCTCCGTGATTCATTTGTTTGCAGCTTCGCCCGAGAGCAGTACAATCATGGTGGTGGCAGCACAGATACAGTAAAAATTCAATGGAAAGATAATCTTTCTGGTAGAACAAACCAGGGGAAAGAGTCAGGATAAGCAGGGCTACCAGAAGTAGGGGGGGAGCCCGAAGGAGAGAAAGAAGTCAGAAACCCTAAATTCTGCATAAAGACTCGGCTCGGCTCTGGAAGACCCCTGAACCATGCATGTGTGGGGCACAGGAAAACAAGTTTATAGCCAAAGCTTAAAGAACTGACCTGAGATCTGAGTCATCACCCTCCACAGGCATGGGTGGGGTGGGGTGGGGGTGGTATAACCAAATATAGCCTTTTGAAACAAAAATCTCAACACTTCTTGGAACAATAAAACAGAATCCAAAGTCTCCACAAGAAAACATTTACAATCTCCAAATTATAATCCAAAATTACCTGACATAGAAGAGTTAGAAAAATGTGACCCATTTCCAAGGGAAAAGAGAATCAACAGATGCCAATCCTGAGATGACTCAGATATTGGAATTTGCAGACAAGGACTTTAAACAGCCATTATAACCATACCTAATGAGGTAAAGGAAAAATATGCTTGTAACTAATGAAGTAGTTTAGAAAATCAATAGAAAGAAATAGAAAACATAAAAAAGAAATAAATGGAAATTTCAGAACAGAAAAATACAATGCCTGAAATTTTTTTTTAAAAAAATCACTGGATTGGCCTGGCCAGTGTGGCTCCGTGGTTGAGTGTCGACTCATGCACCAAGAGGTCACTGGTTCGATTCCTGGTCAGGGCACATGCCCAGGTTGTGGGCCCGATCCCCCAGTAGGGGGCATGCAGGAGGCAGCCAATCGATGTTCTCTCTCATCGATGTTTCTATCTTTCTCTCCCTTCCTCTCTCTCTAAAAATCAATAAAAAAAAAAATCACTGGATTGGCTTAAGAAAAGAATGGTGATAACAAAGGAAGAAGTCAGTAAACTTGAAGACACATTAATAGAAACAATTTAATCAAAATAAGATAAAAAAGGAAAAGATTGAAAATAATAAATGGAACTTCACAGAACTGTGGGGCAATTTCTAAAAGCCTAACACTGGAATCACAGAAGAAAAGAGAAACTAGAGCAGAAAAAAATAGTCAAAGAAATAATGACTAAAAACTTCCCAAATTTGGTGAAAGACATAAACTTACAAATTCAAGAAGTTCAGAAAATCCCAAACAGGATAAATTCAAAGAGATACACACCTTGCCACATCATAGTCATATGAAAAGACTACAGAAAAATCATGAAAGAATCTGTGTAGGTGAATAATCATCATAATTACCACAGATTTCTCATCAAAACATGGAAGCCAGCAGACAATGAACACCAAGAGAAAGCAACTGTCAGCCTAGAACTCTATATGTTTCAGTAATGATGGTGAAATAAAGACCTTCCCTTCAGGTAAGAGAAATTAAGTGCATGTGTCACCATCTGACCCTCACTACATGAAATGTTAAATGAAAGTTCTTTAGGTGGAAGAGAGATGCTTTCAGAGAGAAACTCAGATGTTCAGGAATGAATGAACATCAGAAATAAACAGTCTATGCGTAAATATGAAAGACTCAATTTTCTTTTTCTTTTCCCCAAAGAAAATTGCATTTAATATTTGGTGTATTTCCTTTTGGGCTTTTATTATTCCCCATTCTCTCATATGTAATTAAATTATATTATAAATACTTTTGTACTTTGTTCTTTTCATTTATAAGCATTTCCTATTGTAAACATTTTAATGGTTGCATTATATTTTCTCTTTAAAATACATATGATTTTTAAAGCAAAAATTATAACAATGTATTGTGGGTTTATAATGTATATAGATACAACACATATAATAATCCTAACAGCAAGGGAAGGGGTAAATAGACCTATATCATGGCAAGATTTTTACATTTTACATGAAGTGGTACAATATTACCGCTAAGTAGACTGTGAACATTTAATGATGTATATTTTAATACCTAGAGCAATCACTATTAGAAAAAGGACACACAGCAAAATTCCAATTGATAAATTTAAATGGAATTCTAAAAAAATATTTAAGTGGTCCAAAGGAAAGGGGA